GATAGGCTGTCCACTCTCGTCACGTATAGTTTCACTAACAGCAGGTCTCCTGCTGCCCGTTTCCCGTATCAGACGGAATAACTTACGATGGTTGCCAAGGGCAGCGGCCACTTCCATCTCTGACGCACGATGAGACCACCAAGATTCGCGGTCTCTCTTCAGGCTAGCACGGAGTTTTGCCCGGAGCTCTTAGCGAGTTTCATTGTGCTCGCTTCCAGCCGGGATTTGCCGGCGAGCATCTATAAGTTCCAGAAACTGCGAAGAGACCCAATGTCCATGTTGTCTATTAGACATACCACATGAGGATTTGCCTGCTGCTAGTAAGGTCTGGCGAACATGTGACCAGTGACCATTAATTGTCTCCTGTGAGCGCTTGCTCAACTCGCATGTTAGCGTACTTCGATACGCATTCAGAACAGCTGGTTTTGTCAGTTGGCTGGTGTCAATACGCTCACAGCGTCGTCGTGGGCGTCCGCCAAAACGCATCCGCATGTCAGCACATACAAGTGCATGATCGGTGTCCACACATGTGCTCCAAATCGAGCGACAATTCTGGATGCAGCCTCTCCAGCGGTAACTTATCGCAATGTGATCGATCTGCGTGCAAGGCTGGTTCGAGGTTGGTGGGCGCCAAGTCACCCTTCGGCGTGTGCTGTGTCGGAAATTAGTGCTCGCAAGAAATAAGCGAGCATCTTCACACAAATGAAGTAACCGCTCACCGTTATCATTACGGGAGCCTACACCGTGTTGACCGCCCAGATGCAGTTCATCAGTGGACAACTTTCCAACTTGTGCGTTCATATCCCCCGCCAGCACAACAGTGTCCGTGCTTCTTCTGTGGCGAAGGAGCTGGGTCAGTTGGCGGTAGAAGTCGTTCTTTACCGAATCATCGCTACAGTTTGTGGGCGCATAGGCAGCGATGATGAATAGACATCTATTAGTCCCGCGCGACTTCGAAGCTTTAAACGAGCCAGCCAATCGGACCGCACACATCCGGCTACTGATTGGAATCCAATCAACCAGAGCAGCTTCAGCCCGGGGACTCAGGGCAATACCAACACCGGCTTGGCCGGTGCTCGAAGCTGCATCGTCACCGGATAGGCGCAAGGAGAAAATACTGCTTGCGTCCCCTGAAGGGGATCGCAGAGTGAGTACAGAGCTCGAGTCTTGCAGGCGAGTCTCTGATAAGCAGCAGATATCGATCGAGAGGGTCTCCAATGTTCGGGCAAGTGCTGCCTGTTGACCGATTTGTAGCAGTGTGCGTACATTGAGGCATGCCAATCTGAAGGAGGATCGAGGGCTCCAAATGGAAGCCGATGAACTGGATTGGACCGCTTGGTTGGACATGGGCTTGTCGACAGGAGAGGAATGACGCTCCGCGTTCACGTGTGAGTTGAAATTAGAAGGTAAATGCCTAGCAAAGCATGTTGGGGGAGGGTCAAGAATCGGGGGGTTGAAAACTGGGGGGATATAAGTGAAGTTGGAATGGGACGGTAAGAATGAAAAAGCGTAAGAGGGGGAATAAGAAGACGGGAAGGCTTGAGCAGTAGCACCCAAACCCCTATCCACCCTGCTCGATGCAGCAGATATGGCACCGTTTATTATCCTCTGCGGTGGCCAGAGCATCAAGAAATTGTTTGAAGGAAAATTCATAGTATTGCGTGGGCAGGATACTGTCAGGTTGCCCAGGCCTAGACAGGAAAACGGTTAGGGTTCTCAACCAAAGCCTTTGGTTCAAAAACCTGACCGCAAGGCAGCGGGTTTGGCGTTGGGCTACAAGGAGTCCATTTTAAGGAATAAAGTGCCACCCTCATTCCAACCCCCAACCTGGAGGACCAGGAGGCTGAGTTTGTCTGGCCTCTAACCATTGACCAATCTGGTATGAGTGACTCTGAAGGTGCAAAAGCACCACCCAGCGTAGCTCAATAGATCGCTGAGGCACACAAACCATCGCACCACGGTAAGGTCCAGCCTCATTGCGATGGCAGTGCAAAAGCAGAACCGTCCGGATCCATTGTGAACAGACGACCGGCTTGATAAAGCGTAGAAGGAGTTAACGGAAAACGATAGTGGTCAAACTGCTTGGTACCAAACAAAAATGATCGTACGGAGATTTTTGTTAGTTCCAAAACATTTCGCTATTTTTGCCATTTCCAAGAATAGTAATAGGAATACAGGAAGAAAAATACAGTTTCGACAAAACAATATTAGTCCAATACCTCTGTCGGCCTGAATTAGTCGTTCTCCGTGCACTGCGCTAGGTTGCAGGGACCTCGGAGGATGTCGCTAAACTGCCAGGACTGGCGTTTATTGATGGAACAGCAACTTTGTAGAGGAATTGTCATTGTCTACATAAACAGCATTAAGGCGACTAATAGATGCTAATTCGCGCTTTCTGTGGAGACCAATAACAAATACTTTGTCGTTCAGCTGAAGAACTCTTAGTGGCCCTTCATATCGTGGAGCCACGGATCGCTTGACACAGTCAACCAGTACGAATACGTGCGCACAAGTTTGGAGCTCCGGCAGTATAAGGGTTTTAGTTGTTCTGCACACGTGTGTTTGGTAGGTGCGAAACGAGGTATACGTGATGCTAGTTGTCCTGCAAAAGAAACGTCGTGTGTAATGATGTCTGAAACAGTAAAAAAATAGTTTCCTGGTAAACGAAGCGACTGACCGAAAAGGAGTTCAGCATTAAACACCTGCAAGTCGACCTTGCGACTAGTAGGTATACCTAACATGACAGTAGGCAACAACTCCGTCCATTGAAGAGGGTCAACTGCAGTGAGGCTGGCTTTCAGTTGACGATGGAAACGTTCTTTCATACCGTCCTATTGTGAATAGCAGGAAGTAGTAAGAAAATGTTGTCATCCTACAAAGTTCAGCGGCCCTTGGAACTGCATGCTCGCGAACTATGGTCCACTCTCTGTCATCACAGTTGCTGGACAGCCGTGGAAAAAGACTCAGTGACCCATGAATGCTCGAGGGATTTCCCCCATACTAACGTTTGGCAACGGAATTGCTTTTGGTCACCTGGTGAAGCGTTCGATGATTATCAACAGCTAAATCATACCTTTGGAGGATGGAAGGGTGTCAACGATATCCATGTGGAGGAGTCGAGAGCTGACTGTCGGGAAACGGACAATGGGCGCAGATATGTGGCGTTGAACATTCGAGTTGGCGGCGAAGACATGTACGGTTGAGCTACCTGAAACGCTGCGTGATAAGTTAAATCGAGGTGCAAATGCCTGGATGTGATAAATTGTGGTGCATTGAACACAGTACGACAAAGTGAACCATAGGAAGTAGATAACTTTGTGAAACATCGCAAAGGGTCGTTACTTCTAAGCTTGACAACGGAACTGGTCAGATGCCGAAAGAACTGGACATACGAAGCTGATCAACTTACGGATCGGTCTGTTTTGTAGCGGGCATTACTGTTAAACCGAGGTTCTGCGCTGATGTGATGGAACTGAGTCGGGAAAAAGCACCTGTGACAAGATTTTGCGCATCAGAGTCCGTGTGTCTGAAGTGAACTGTGAGACAGTTTAAACGGCGTCTCTCTCAGAGATCATCCGTCGGAGGATGAATCTATGGCGTAGACTAATTTGTGGTCGGGAAAGACTACGAAGTCGCTACCCTCCAGAGAAGATCGAGAGTAGCGAATGGCTGGATAAACTGTTCGGAGTTCTCTACCGAAGGTGCTGTAACGGTTTCCGGCCATTTGCAATGGTTGCAAAAAGAACCTAAAGGTTACTAAGACCCACTGACGAAATTTTGAAAGACCGCTCCCACCTCCTTGTCCGAAGTGTCTGTTACCCAAACACGAGTAGCCTTTGGCTGAGAATGTGCCAAATGAGCAGCTTTTGCAACGGTCTTTTTGTGGTCCACGAAGAATGGTGGAGCAGAATTGGTGAAAACGAAAATGCGCTGATTGCCACGAAGCAAGTCAATCAGAGGCTGCATCATCTTAACGCGAATCGGAAGGAAACGGTGGTAATAGTTAACTATGCCTAGATAGCGTATGAGTCGCTTGAGGGATGGTAGCTCAGGAAAATCTGATTTGCCATAACTGCCAGGTCGGACCACATTTCGATGATCCAAAAAAATCAGCCAGAAGTTATCGGGGTTAGCAGTAATGGATAATTCTAAATAGTATTTTACACAATATATTCAGGAAAACTAGGGGAATGTGCAGTGCTACAACTTCATGAATACAACTTATCTCACCAGTGCCACACATTAAAAGCGAACAGATTACCATGGATATGACGTGAGCTTAATATTCTAGTCGACTATTCGCCCCGGATTTTGCTCTTCGCCGGAGTGCCACCTAGTCACCTAAGGACTCAGGGTGGAGGGGTGGGGGAATTGCAAAAACGCATAAAAAACTGACGGGTAGACCAGAACTGGTTGATGAATGCGATCTACCCGATCTGGAGACCCGAGGTGGACTAGAGTAGCTGTTAGAAATCGTCGGCGTCGTGGTTCCATTGCAGAATCCGTATTTTCAAACAGTCCGTTTCTAAATTCTAGACGTTAAACCTGCCGCTTTCAACCACCAGCGCATTAATGATTTTCAAGAACATGTTGATTCCCCGATACATTAACTATCATTACGATCCCGATGAAATCAATACGGTCCATTGCGCCTCAATGGTAAGCTAAAGTTTATTTCAATGAATCGTACATCATTAGAGCGTTAAGAACAAGAGCTGCGAAGCCAAAACGTCGCAACGCATTCTATACTCTGTGCTATCGAACCGTACCTAACAGGCAGTTACAGTAGGATCGCGAGTTTCGTGCTCCTGCCGCAAACAACAGTAGTCAGTGGAATAACGATAAAGCGAGGCAGATAACCTAAGTCCAAAACACATCGTTAATTAATCGTTGGAGCCTTAGTGCGATGCAAGAAAGAAGTATAAGTGGCCAATTGAATGACTCTGCTGTAGAAACCATATACAAGTATGAAGCTACCCGCATCCATCCCCCTTCCACAGCTCGGCACCCTGGTGAAGCATACGATTGAGGACATAGTATTACATGCGACGAAAACTGGCAAATCACATAAGAAACATGTGCCCAAATTACAAGAGCTGAAGTGCTTCGAAACGGTTTTTGAAGCGTTCAAACTGAAGTGCTTTACCATCCAGCAGGTAAGTTGGAAAACATTATTAACTATAAAATGTTGTCCTGAAGCAATTTGCTTAACAATCACCTTTTCAATCTATTTTCAGGTTCCCGAAGTGGCCCAGTATTCTGTTCAGTTGGCCAAGTTATGTGAACAAGGATATGACCCGAATACGGTGGTGGATTCTGTGTACGAAATGTGTGCATAAGTACAAGATTGCTACACAATATTTCAACAAGCGAATTATCAACTGTCGACATCCCGGTACTGGCTACTCCCTACTGTATGCATAGCGTAATGCCTTGTAAATCCAACCACAGCTAAATAGTAACAATTACATGCGCAAGCTTTCGGTCTACCAATAAAGAGAGGTGTGTACAACGCTGCAGCGCTGTGGTTGTTACTATGCGGATAAAATATGTGACTACTGCTCGCAGAAAGCTTTAAGGCAATATTCATCTGAGCCTACGACGCATTGCTCACATTTGATGAGAGCACGGCCGTGCTGAGTATGAACTATCTCACATGTTGCACGTCAGCCGGCTAGCGTCAGAGTACAAAATAGCCGCTACAATGCTTTCATGGAGGAAGCTCATTGCAATAAATTGATAACAAAGTCGAAGGGTATGATGGCATCGAGTGAAGAACTAATTCGAATCGATGTATGCCCTCAGTACGACCGATTGATGCAATGCAAAGCAATATGAAAAAAACTAGCAGGAAGGTTGGTGAGGATTGATGTGTGCGAATTGGATCAGTATCGACACTTTAGGTTATGCAATGAGCGGGAATAAGCTGGGACACCGTAGCCCTTCTCATTATGGCTATCTGACATTCCATTAGACAGTAATGATTTTCTGGACACTTTTCCGTTAAATGTTTGCACTTATGTTCCATCAAAATGAAGGAAATCATCATCAGTACGCCGGTACTCTTTGCTGCCGCGCAACTACCAACAATCGCGCCTCGGCTAAGGATACTGCGATTGTCGCCCGGTCAATATGTAGGCTCGAACTCGCGACTTCATATTACAAGGCATTAGTTATGATGCCTAGAGCCGCGGGCCGGCTATATGCCCACAGTGGTTTTTTCCACAACTTCAATTCGTTAAATCCAATCATCGTGATAATGAAGGCCATGGAGACTACCTTCATCTCTCTTCGCTGCGCTGATTATACTCACCAGATTAAATTGAACTATTTTGAGAAGTAGGCCTTTTATGCCGGGACCAAACCCGGAGTTGATTAAAACAAGGCAGTAGTGCAGATTTGAGATGATAAAGGTAGTGGGCAAATCACTCTATTCAATGTATTCTATGGACTAACGAAAATGGTGTAGAAGGTTTAAAAAAGCCGACGCTTAACTGGTCCCGTAGGATGACCCAGATAAAGATAGTAATCAGAGAGAAGTGTGGTAGTAAAGTTGAATGTCCGCTGATGAACTAACCGAGGTGTGTTAAGGTTAAAGAGTGCAAGTACTCGACTCATGAGTTTCACAAGTTCACTTGAGTACCAGTCCAGAATACACGATTGCTCACATTATGCAGCCTCCTGACCAACAAGCGATTTATGGAATAACGTAACATGCGCAATGTATCTTCAAGTTGTTTGCAAATACTGTTAATTTATGGAAAGAAATGACGTACGAGGGGAGGGTGTTACGTGACTAGATCACCCGGAGGAAGAAAAACTCACAGCGGCATTCCAGCCGGCTATATCGTGCCCAAATTTAAATGATAACCTACTAGTTTGGTGTAATCCCTGAGTTCCAGGAAACGATGGTAGATGTGATTGGGGTTCTTCAAAGTTAGGTGAGCCATCGTGAGATCTTTCGAGAGAGCCGATACCGAGCGTCATAGATTCCCATATATTTCATTCTAAGTAGATACGCAGATGAAAGTCCCCTAAAAGTAACTGATATCCTACTGTTACCGACAAATCGGTCTTTGAATCTGAGTAAAACTTAGCACCCTAGGTCAACCAAAAAGTCAAAGCCGGAAGTGAGCTGCGGCGCTAATTTACAAATGGTTAGACAGCAATTTAGCAACAAATCTCAAGCAATATCCAAACCAAAACGTATACAATAGTTCGACTCTCAAATGCAGCCTGCTGTCAAACCAGACTAAACGGTGAAGCGGACAACCGAGAAGCAAACGGAGGCGAAGCAGAGTGCCATTCAGAAGTGGATTACAACGAAGCGATTAATACTCAGTCGGTCAGCCAATGAACAGTTAACATGGAACACTGGTGGGTAGGAGGTGATTTTAGCCTACACATATCCAGACGATGAACAGGTGTCCGAGAATGGGGATACATTGTAAGAATAGAGTGGCATTGAGGAACAACCAATAAGGCATGTGAATGAGGGAATGTGTGGGTGTCTGGAAGAGAGTTCGGATTAGGAAACACGGAAGCATTACGGACGGGATCTGTGACGTTTTGATGCAGCTGAAAGTTTTGGAACTAAGCCATAGAATCGGCAATTCACACAGAAGATAATCGAAGCAATCTAAAAGGGTGAGTGGGCGCAATGTGTATGGGTAATCATAGTGGGGCAAAGGAGCAAATTTGAGTGGTGTGGCGGTGTTCAAAATGGGAGTAAAAAACAAGACAAATACGTCTGCCGTATGCAAAAGAAAATGGGAGATAAATAAGTTGTCCATGATCGGGTATCGGGGAGAGAAAATGGGGATGTAGGATCACACAGAGGGAATAAATTGATTTTTCCGTTATCCCTACATTGTGAAGCTCGGGTGCAACAATACGCTGCATTTACAATGGATGTTGAGCAGATGGGCATTAAGCATCGGTGTAAATTACAGCAGAGTTAAACTGGCCAGATGCTCTGCACATGTGGCTGACATGTCGATAGCCGGTTTCGAAATCCTTTCGGATTGTTTGCAGCAAACGAGATCGTCCAGATCCAGTATCCAGAGATCCCGCTCCTGAGAGGTTTTTATGTGTGATATAGTCACCAACTTCCTTTGTGCTTTACGGCTGTTAACATATATGAATCAACTTAAACTTAGCCGCGTTAAAATGGACTAGGTTCCTCGTCGACCATTCATGTGCATCACCCAGGTCACACCGGAGGAAATCGTGGCCTTAATTGCTGTTTATCTCTCGCCACATCTTGATATCATTGGCAAAAAGCAGAAAATGCGGGGCAACAATGCTTGCAAGATCTTTGATGGACACTGAGAATAATCGCGGTCCCAGAACTAAATCCTGCGCAACATCGCACTGCACCTGAATCGCGTAGAAAAGTGATCCGCGCACTTGCAATTGCAGTGTCCGTTGGCAAAGGAAATTATTAGTCCAGCCCCATTCCACCCGTTCGCAAGCATTGAAGCAGGATGTGGAAATCCAGTAGATTTAGGTATATGTGGGAAAGTTCAGGTAGATGACACTGATCCCGACTACGTCATCAGTCGCTTCCGACTAACTACCTCATGCCTTCTGTAGGTTGATGACGCATAACTGGCGTTGACAGAAGCTGGATTGCTCCCATGCCATGACGTTACACTCATCCCGGTCGGAAACTAAGGCCACGGTTATCGGCCGTCTCTGTCATCTACGAGAGTACAGGGAGGAGAATCACCGAGTGATAATGTGCGGAAGCCTCGACGCTGCTGTCCTTAAAAGTTAGGGTAATAATATTCTGCTCATCAAACCAATCAATCTTTGCACGATAGCCAGCTGTTTGTGACGGTATGTTGTCTACACAAGGTGTAGGCGCCTTGACCCTGAATGTTTGCTTAGGGCATTAAGGTTTTCAGGTAAGTCCCCCTTCTCTCCCTCTCTTATTCTTTATTTCATAGGTCCTCATGGTTGTATGGCAGCGAAGCATCAGTTCAAATGGCTGATGTACTGCTGTTGACGACGATGCTCATCAAACTCCCTTTGAAATAATCGCGAGTGACTGGTCTTACTTTAGACCGATTAACTTCAGTGTCTCTAGTTGAGCCCATTCAGCTCCTGCAGAACTGCGAGGACGCAATGAAAAGGAAGTACTCTAACACAATTACTGAATTAAAGATTACATGTGTAAACCGCGGAGTCTGTTAGACGCACGTTAAGTGACAAAGATAGGCTTCTCGCCCGGATGTCCGAGGTATCGCAATCGTAGAGCACTAGGCACTCCGTCGGTGGTTTTGCCGTGTTTTATGTTGTTATCTATTGCACTTTACTAAGACTACCGACATGCTTCACAATAGCCTGCTGTTGGTCTGAGACCAGTTGACTAAGCACTGCTGATAGGTAAATGTTTATACACGGATAAATGTGATAAAATTGTATCGATGCATCAGGAAGTGTCCCTAGGTTTTGGAATCAGGGTTGGCCAAATATGCATGTCATGCCGCGTCCTTTAATGCTATGCAGTTCCGAATCCTACTTCTGAAAAACGATTGTGCTATTGCGGAACAAAGTGATCTAATCTCTGACGGTTTTGTGATCATGGTACTGAATCATTCAATAAACTCTGTCCAGACGCCATCAAGCGGATTTTGGTTAGAGGGCTCCTAAGTTGATGCTCCGACGAGTTCTTTCAGGGCGTGATAGAGTATGTTTGTACGAGATAAATCGGCACGTTTATTTGGATGCTCTGCACAGTAAAGATAGTTAGAGGTTCTGACAACATGATCGCGAATACGTTGCCAGTCAAGAGTCCTTCATTTATGAACACGAGCTCCAGGACGCAAGGTTTGTTTGACGCCCGGAATCTAACAGCCGATGTGACGTGGATGTACAAGAGAATAACCGTGGTAAAATTATGGAGAGCGACTTCGAACTGTTCACTGGTGGGTGTTGATGGCTCCCAATGGGGTACGTTGAAATTTGGACGCATTTATGGCATGTTAACCTATTCAGGTGTTTGTGGGTTCGAGGCAGAATAGGGAACAGGGCGACTTTCGCAGTGTCCTTAGTCCATGCGCGACTCGTGGTGGTTGCGTGGCAGCGAAGCGCCGGTAAACCATACCAGCGTACTGCTGATGCGCAGTTTCTATTCAAGAAGCATGAAGTGGTAATCCAGTGCCGAAGTGGATGGTGATAAACGATAGTCATAAGTCACCCATCGTCATATCTTGACATGAAAAGGCACCTGAATGAGTCAGTGGCATGTGTTTCCGGAACGCTCACTCTCTCATATTGCAGATCTCTTCGGTAACCGAAGAGAACCTCAGCCCATTTCCTGTGATATTCATACAAGATGAATCAGATTCCTTGGTTAGGCACAGACAAAATCATCTAAGCTGTAATAAGGCGATATTCGTCTGAAAGCAAGTAATAACAGGTCAAACAGCCTTTTTTTAAACTAGGGGAGCAAAGTTTGTGATTTAGTTGGAATATTAAGCTTCCTTTTTCACTATCAGGCGCATCCAAAAAATTAACAACAACGGCGTCGCGTATCTTGCTTTTTCCACCTCTTTCATGGGCGACCAGTGATTGCAAGCAAATGTACAGTTTCCGAAGCACGCATAGACAAACGGACGAAACAATGTAGTGCCTCATATAGCTTGAAATATATATTATTTCCAAACCCAGTTGCAATAGAATTGAGACGCAAGTGAAGCCAAGCTGCGTTACGAGAATATCGGGAGAATCGGACACAATAAGTGCCTACGGACTCTACTTGCTGAGCATAGAATCACGCGCTTAGAACCACAGGCACCGAAGCGTTTTAAAGCAGGAATGACGCAACCAATGCGAGTAACAGGTCGGTTGCAGGTTGATTGCAAGCCCCCGATTCCAGTGATGTACAAAAGCGGAAAAAGGTAGTGTTATGCTGCTGTATACAGTGGGAGATTTAGGTACAAGGGTTCTGAAGTCACGCCAGACAAAAACCGAAATCAGATGGCGAAATGAGACAGGTTCGATTTACTCGTGTCGAAGAAAAGCCAATGTCGCAAGATCGATTGAAGAAAAGCACGCACGAAGAATAAATCTTGTAGCAATTCATCATGGATGAACGTTAGCCTTCCTTTTGCAAGTAATCTGAGTGGGTAAATATAAGGAATAGTATGAATATGGCATGTGAAAGCTTCCAATATAAAAGAATGTCAGACGATCAATTCAAAGCACCGATTTTTGTATCTGGTTTAACAGCGCCTACGGATTCCGATGTCAGAACAAAATTACTATCAATACTGGACTCTAGTTGTGACATTTCCTTGCACGATGTAACCATGGAATATCTCAGAATGATGAATCTAAAGCGTGATTCACAAATGTTACAGTCAAACAACTGTTATTCAGACATGATTTCTGTTAATAAGCTTACTAAATCACAACTGGAACAGAACAGATTTCCAAAGCAAAGAGGTTGCTTTCAACGACCACCTACACCATGTTGGCATTGTGGCGCCTAGCACTTTGCACGCTTTTGTAAATTTCGATTCCCTAAATGTCAAGATTGTGGCACATTAGGTCACAAGGAGGGACACTGTGTCCGTTTGTTCAAGCAGCACCAATCAACCCGATTCAGAAGGCAGTCAAATCTATTGTCCACTACATACAGTTCTGTGGGAGGCATGGCCAAAAGTTTATCACGCTATTAATTAACAAGTTACCAGTTACCTTACAGATTTACACTGCTTCCGACATAACAATCCCTTCACAGTCGACTTGGAAAAGCATTGGCGAACCAGAGTACCGTGTTACAAAAAGTACTGCTCGGAACGCTTATGGCAAGCCAATCGTCTTTTTGGGACAATTAAATTGAGTTCACATTTAGGAACAATAAAGGCAGTGGAACATATTACATTGCAGCAGAAAATGAACTAAAGTTCTTAGGCATTGAATGGATAGATGAGTTACAATTATGGGATGTTCCAATCAGATCAATTTGTGATTCCCAAACTCAGAGCATCCGAAATGTGCCTTTAAGCGATGTCGCAACTGTTGATACAAAAGTGAAAAATGATATTTTGGAAAAATTTCGGGAAAAGTATGTATCACAACTGGACTCTAACCGCAAGTACGTATTTCAACTCGTAGCGAATAAGTAAGAAGACGCGTCAGTCTGGCGCACAGTGTACTGAACACTTAACGGTTTACATGTAAGCACGGAATGTTAGGGTGTGTCCTTGAGTGCGTGTGTGCGTGCTTATCTACGTGTGTGTGTAGGGCCAATCAGGTTCAGGGTCATAGTGAGCGATCATTGGTTGAACACGTAACAGTCCTCCCTGTTTTGGCTGACGTTACAGTCATGGCCGAAAACGTTCGATCGGTTTGCGAATCCGGGTCGATCGGCGTAATTGAGTTTCCCCTGTTGTTCTGTGTTCGTCGTGCTCTGCAGCTTGCTCTGCGATCTCCGAGTGTGACTGACTCACGGCAGGTGTGTCAGTGCTCCTGGGGCGTACATGGTCTGAGTGCCGGCGAACAACCCGGCCGTCCGGAAGCTGCAAATCGTTTTGACTTCCTGAAGAATCGAGCACAGTCGCCGGCTGCCAACATTGTTCATGCGGTAACCTGGTGTAAACAGGTTGATGGTCCTGAAATGTAACTTCCGGCTTTGATTCCTCTGAAGACACAAACTTTTTCTGACGCTCCTGTACTTCAACACGCGGGTTCGGGAACAACAAATGAAGCCTCGTTCTCAGATTTCTGCCGAACATCAATTCCGCCGGGGATTTCCCGGTAGCCTCAGTGGGTGTAGAACGGTAGGAGAATAGGAACCGATCCAATTTTGTTCGCAATGTTCCCGTTCGCTGCTTTAGTAAGCCTTGTTTCACAGTTTGTACTGCACGCTCCGCTAATCCGTTTGATGCTGGGTGATACGGGGCTGACTTGACGTGTTGGATTCCGTTGTTGGCGACAAATTTACCAAATTCGGCACTGGGCTTTCTAAAATAGGTTTAAACTTGTCATTTAAAACATGGAAACCGTGTTTATCAAGCCGGTATCCAAGGTAACAAACGGAAGGTGAAAGGAACTCACATTTAGACCTTTTCAATCTGAATCCACATCGCTCTAAACGCTCGAGTACGACCGCGAGTGTTCGAAGATGCTCTGTATCCGAGCGTCCAGAGATAAGAATATCATCCAGATAAGCACACGCAAAAGGAATGTCCTTCACTAGGTCGTCAATAATTCTCTGAAATATTCCGGGGGCGGAATTGATGCCAAAAGGTAAACGAGTATATTGAAATAGTCCCATGTGCGTGGTGATGGTAGTAAGTTTCCTCGAAGGTTCATCGAGCTCTATCTGCGAGTATGCATGACTCAGATCGAGTTTGGTAAACTTTTCACCACCAGCTAGTGTTGCATACAAGTCATCAATACGTGGCAAGGGGTACCTGACCAGCATGGATGCTTGATTTATGGTTATCTTGTAGTCACCACAAATCCGTACGGAGCCGTCCGGTTTGGTTACTGGCACAATTGGAGTTCCCCAGTCAGAAAAGTGTACAGGAGTAATAATACCTTGAGTCTGTAGGCGGTTTAGTTCCTCTTCAACTTTAGGCCTCATAGCGTATGGTAGTGTGCGCGCCTTAATGAATTTTGGTCGAGCGCCTTCCTTTAGTTTTATCGCAGCCTGAAATTCCTTCAACTTCCCAAGCTCCTCGGAAAAAACAGCTGAATGTTGTTTAAGTAATGTTTCAAGTCCGGAGATCTCGGTGACTAATTTTACCACATTCATTGTATCCGGGAAAGCACGTATCCAGTCTCTTCCAAGCAGATTTGGACGATCCCCGGGGATCACATATACAGGAAGTGTGCGTATTTTGTCGCCATACTGTGCCTTCACGAAGCATTTACCAAGGACACGTATAGGTTCACCGGTGTATGTGCGAAGAACAGAATTGCAAGCGGATAAGTTCGGGAGCGTTTTTACAGCGTTTTCCCGGATTATCGTCACGGATGCTCCTGTATCGATTTCCATCTGTACCTTTTGTCCTTCAATGTAAAGCTCTAGAGTGTATGGCGCCGGCTGCATGCTAGAAACGGAATTAAGCCAAATGGAATGTAATTCAGGGTCGCTACCATCAGATTCGTCCACGGTTTTGATGGGGTTTGCTCCTCGATAAGCCCCACCTGAACGTCGCTTGACCGATCTACACACTCGCGCCAGGTGGCCCACCTTCCCGCAGCTTCGACATACTGTCTTCTGATGCCGGCAGTCGGATGGACAACTGTGCTGCTCACCACAGCGATAGCACACAAACAAATTGACGCCAGTGGGTGGCTTTGGTTTTGGTGTAGTGTTAATCAATCGCAGCTCATCTGACGAGTCCTTCAGCGTAAATGTTGCGAGTTGTTGTGTAAGGTGTTCCCTCTGCCGGGCAATCGAGCAGGCCGTCTCCCAGGTCAGTGAACAATCATCTTGTGAAAGGAGCTTCTCCCGCGTGCTGTGGTCTGAGATTCCGGCTATCAAACATTGGAGTAACATGGTCTCTTCAAATCTTGTTGGATCGACTTCATTGTATTTACAATCAGGTGCTGCTTGTAGTACACGAGCGATGAACTCGTTCACACTCTCATCTGGTTTCTGGCAGAGTTTCGAGAAGTAGTATCTAGCCGTAAAAACATTCTGGCGAGCACCCCAAAGAACACTGAAGGTCTCCAAAGCGCCGGTTATCGTAGAAGAGATTTGATCAATGCGAAGTGCATCGAAATACCTTTGACCCTCATCTCCAAGAAACTGTCTCAAGAGCTGCACTTTGTTTTTCTCAGTAAGAGATACTGCTGGATTCAAGATTGGAAGCAATTCCAAGTAATCCGTAAAGGTTTTCCGCCATCTATGCCACGAGTCCAGGGAAGGTTTGTCGGTAGAGCACGACCAGAAGACCGGTGGAGTATTTGTCATGGACATGTTGACCTCCGTCGCCAGATATCACAACTGGACTTTAACCGCAAGTACGTATTTCAACTCGTAGCGAATAAGTAAGAAGACGCTTCACTCTGGCGCACAGTGTACTGAACACTTAGCGGTTTACATGTAAGCACGGAATGTTAGGGTGTGTCCTTGAGTGCGTGTGTGCGTGCTTATCTACGTGTGTGTGTAGGGCCAATCAGGTTCAGGGTCATAGTGAGCGATCATTGGTTGAACACGTAACAGTATGCCAGTGTTTTCAAACCAGAACTTGGATTGTGCACCAAAGTTCGGGCTACTTTGTATGTCGCACGTGAAGCAAAGCCAGTATTCCGTCCTAAAATGCCAGTACCCAGTATCGCTTAGAGAAATCGGGCGTGCTAAGCAAGGTTAATTATTCAACCTGGGCTATTCCCACTGTGGTAGTTAAGAAGGCGAGTGGCACAGTACGTATTTGCGGTGATTTTTCAACTGAACTAAATGTTGCATTTCAGACTCACTAATACCCATTGCCAATTCCGGATGATTTGTTTGCGCAGTTAAATGGCGGAAAATATTTTTAAAAATTGACCTTTCGTATGCCTATTTACAAGTCGAGGTTGATGAGGAATCAAGACAGTTTCTCATCATTAATACTCATAAGGGTCCATGTCGATACAACAGACTGTCTTTTGGAATTACGTGCTCCGGAAATTTTTCAGCAAGTGATGGACACAATGCTAAACCGGTTGCCTTATGCTATGGCTTACATGGAGGACATAATAATCGTAAGCGCTTCAGTTGAGCTACATTAGACACACTTAAATGAAATGTTTGCCAGGATCAGGAGTTTCGGATTTACGCTACGAATTGACAAATGTGCGTTCTTCATGTCTCGAATTTCGTATCTTGGCTCAAATACTGATGCCAGTGGTCGTCTTCCTGATCCACCAAAAATTATGACAATCCAACAACTACAAGAACTTTATCCCTAATATGCACTCGTTAAGGATGCCACTAAATGAACTCTTGAAAACTAATGCAAAATGGGTATGGTTCCCAGCTTGTCAGTCGCCATTTGATGAAATAAAGCGCCTTTTAACTTCTGATCTTGCACTTACACATTATGACCTCAAACCACCTCTCATAGTTGCTGCTGACGCTTCAGAGTACGGGATTGGAGCAGCACTCTTGCACCAGTTTCCGGGTGGCAGGCGAAAAGCGGTCAGTCATGTTTCAGGCACGCTAACAACTGAATGGAATTAGAGCCAAAATGAAAAAAGGTTAGCAACAGTGTATGCAGTCAAAATATTTCATAAGATGTTGCATGGTCGGAAATTCACGTTATACACTGATGACGTACCCAGTTGTCTACATTCCGCACCAAGAAAGGAATTCCTGTTCACACTGCAAATCGCCTACAAAGTTGGGCAACAATACTTCTCGGATACGATTTTACCATTAAACACATCCGTTCGGAATGCTTTGGTCATGTTGACGCCTTATCGCGCCTGATTTCTAACAGATCATATTCACAGCCACATGAAGACACGGATATTTCATCGGTTGAAGTTGATGCTGAGATAAAAGCTACCTTTGAGGAGTCTATAGGAAAATTACCAGTTACACACAATGACATTGGTGAGCCTACGCGGTCAGATAGTTGTTTACAACGAGTCATATCTTATCTTCGCAACGGTTGGCCAAGTATTTTACTGGACACTGAATTAAACTATACTTCGTGTGTAAAGATGTTTTAACAATAGTGAACGACAGTTTAATGCTGGCAGATCGCATGGTGATGCCCAAAAATCGCAGAGTAAAAGTGATTCAAATGGTTCACGCCGGACACCAGGGAATTAGACAAATGAAATCACTTGCCAGATGTTATGCTTATTGGCTAAATATTGATAACAATATTGAAGGCGCAGTTCGTAATTGTTCTAAATGTGCACAGACTGCGAAAGCCCCCAACAAAGTTGACCTTCATCCTTGGCCGAAATCAACTGCTACCGGTATGCAGGTCCACTGGACAATCAATATTTTCTGGCTATTGTTGATTAATACTCAAAATGGCCAGAAATAGTTTGTGTCACTCAAGCGAAGACAGCTTCAACAATCGCAGTTATTCGTCGTTAATTTGCACAGAAACACTCGTCACTGATAATGGTACGCAATTCACATTGAACGAGTTCAACCGATTTTGTCAATCCATGGGTGTACAACAAAATATATGAAGTCCCATTTATCATCCCCGGTCGAATGGACAGGCTGAGAGATTTGTGGATACATTCAAACGGGCTCTGTTTAAACTTAAAGTAGAGGGAGATATTTATACAAACTTGGATGTATTCTTACGCATGTATCGTTCAACATCGAATCCTGTTCTCCCAAACCGGGAATATTTTATTGATCGACGTTTACGCATATCATTAGGTGCTATGTTTCCGGAAAAGGAGACTAATCAGTGTGACCAGAAAATGGCAGATCAGTTCAATCGTAAGCACGGTACTCGCATGAGATATTTTCATCCAGGTGACCCAGTCTATGTGTACAACTGCAGGGATTCAAATAAACGTTGAATTCCAGGAATTGTCAATGCAAGAAAAGGGAATGTCCTGTACGAAGTAGTATGTCAAAACCAATTGACTACACGTCATGTGAATCACATCAAACATCGTTATGCACCCGAACAGGTTAAGCAAAATGACACTACAGTGATTCTATTACTCATGCTTTTAGATACATTTGCTTTGTCTAAGCCAATGGAACCACAACCAGAGCAACGCGTTGGTGTGAGCACAGAAGTGGAACCTGAACGGAGACATTCCACACGTACACGCCCCCCAATTTAGCGACTCAGTATCATTCCGAACAAAAGATCTTATGTGTAACAATTTATTTTGTTAACCGAGGAGGGTGTTAGAGAAATCCCCTATTTCAGCCACACAGACTGCATGTGAAATCAATCGATTTCCAGCACGTGTGTTTGTATGTTAGCTTTGAACTTTCAGCCAATCACATGGCACGTGTGCATTGATTGGTTTCGACCAAGTGTGTAGTTAACGGCTTTCCCGGACAGTTGATTATAACATCAGTTGTGCAAGTAAACGTTTTCAAGCAGTGTCGATTTTGTCTTCTTACTACTAAGCGGGAGTCATAACACAGGTACGTTGTATGTTAATCAAAGGTTTACCCCTTCAGCACCGCTGAGAACGTGAGGTGGGCGGCTGCTGCCAGTCCCTAGCTTAGAAACATCGACTGTAGGCCGTGTCAGAAAAGGGTAGCCAGTTGCCCTTTCCGACAGCAAGCTCTGTTACGACGGTGCTGTGGATCACGACTAAATTCCTTACCATGCACTGACGCTGCTTCATCTTAACCTGCCGTTGGTGACCACACACACTGAAAAATTACTACACCCATCCCCCGCCCAGGTGACAATTCGCACACGAGCAAGTCCGGGGTGAAGTGAATCGCTTACACCCCTGTGCCCCATATATGCGTACATGTTGCTATGTTCATGCATCCGATATCCTATTCGTTAACGGTGATTGCAAATGAAAAAGCTGTACCCCGGTGCGCGCATGCACCTGTCCACCGAATCAAGTTGGATGACAGACAGACCAATCTGGCTGGATGGCAGAGGAATTTGACATCCGAACAGTTTGACTTTTTAAGTGTATGGATCAACTTGACTCAGAGATGGTATACACCATCGAAGCCATTCGATTCGTATGTTTATCTGATGTTTTCCTTCACGTCACTATTCGAGGTGCATTGGCATGATAACGAAACTCTGGAAACTAGCATGTCCACTAGCTCTTGTCTACCGTTTCTACACTTGGGATAATTTGGCATCCGTTGATAACAAGAGTCGATAGAAAAAGAGAGATGTAAAGGCAACTTACAGCGGAAAAGGTTGACATAGTACCTCGCTATCTTGTCTTGATTGCCCAAAACAAAAATTGGAGCTCGAAGAATGACAATTTATCGCAAATCGACAATTGCTGAATTATGGACCAGGCTCCTTAGAACATGTGCATACCGGAGTTTGTCTATGACTAGTTACAAAACAGGAGGACCTTTCTAATAAGGAGTCACAAAAAGAAGCACACTAGGTGGATTTTGGGTTAATAATGGAGTAAAACATAAACTGGAAGGAAGAGCATAGTAAAAATGTGAATATCTTATGAGGAGCAACGGAGAATGAGGAAATCAACACAGGTTTCCAAAAACAATAAATACCAAATTATACGCAAATATATCTTGAGATCCCTTCGCTTTAGAAAGGACAGACAATAGTGCGATAGGATCATGCAATCAAGCGGCTAGCGTGCCGCAAGGGAACAGAGCAGTTGTTTGGACGCCTGCGCATATTTCATCTACACGCTGATTTGCTGCCTGGAGCGGGTTTGTTTAATTGATTCAAAGGAAGACTCTCACAAGTGTAGCAGCATCGTTAGTTATGGAAAGGACTTAATTATTTATATCGAGATTCCTACATGCTTGTCAAGCTGTCATTTTTCCTCAACTCGCTTTGCTGAATAAACCGTTTGTGCCTGAAGGGCCGAGCTCTGCGACGAATAGCGTTAGCTAAGCGCATGTCAAGCCTGTGCACACAGACGTACACATTGGACACCGGTGACTGGGCATCAGTGCATAGCACTTGTACGGCGTCATTTCAGCGGTGCTCTCCGTAAGCAGTTTACGCAAGACAACTGGGGTGTCAGCCTGTAAAGGCACATTTTCGCGTACTGGCTTTGCTTTAACCTAGTGGGCGACATCGGTTAATTTGTTTATGAATTCAATAAGATTGCAAACAGTGGTTTCCGAATTGACCAAAAAGTTTGCGAACTGTACTTCTGTACAGAATCTGTCCAACCTCTTGGGGAAAATTATGTAATCAAGTCAGAATAACTAAGCTTCTAATTGCAACACGTCAAGTGGTACTTCAGACAGTCGCTGTGTATAATGGACTCCTCCTTCCGGTTTTTCGCCAGTGAACTATCGGACCGAATAGCCTCAACTTCCCCAGTATGACCAAAAATGGCTTCGCAAAAGTAGCAGACATAAGCTGAAAAATCAGGAGCAAGACCGCGAGCGCACAGTTAGTACGCGCGCACGAGCAATCAATATCCGAAAGTCTATTTGGGTCTGCCTCCAGGCGTCTGTGTTTAACCTCAGAAAATCCAAATTTGTGTCCAAGCTGTGTTCTGCTTATATTGCTTTTGCGATTATGGGAGCAATCGAAAAGTTGACGTGTCGCACTCGATGTTCGCCTTCTGCTTTGATGAGATTACAGTGGGTAGCAAGTGAATGATGCACATCATGGGCATGGATCAAAAGGAAAAGGTGAAAGTGGGGCCAAGTAGAAGCAAGTTGTGAAGAACATGTGGAGGAAAATAGGAAATTTACTCACCCGATCTTTGCTCCTTAGTCCAAACAGCGTAGCTCAGCTAGTGAACAAAGATCTCCACAAGTCAAGTGTGCACTCGTACAGCACGAAAGTGATGGCACAGGCCGGTGTGACGCGTAAAAGGTTGGGGACCACGCCCTTGTAAAATCCTACCAGACCTTCGCCACTTGAATGGGAGAAGATGAAAAAAGAACAACTAAGGATGCAAATTGCTATGCCGTAAGCAATGTATACGTGGACCCCATAGTGGAATCAATGTACAAATTAGCTTCCGAATGGAAAAGTACCGTCTTCATAATTGTCAACAGTGGGACACTATCATCTTGTAGGAGCGGTTCGTTGCCATCGAGTGATACATTAAAGAAGATGGATAAACCAATGACGAATGAGAAGAGGAACTAATTCAAGTGCAATATATGCAGATGCATACCGTGGAGCACCTGCAGAGGTCATTTACTAAACATCTGACTGGTAAACACTCTGCTATGAGTTATCGAGAACGTCGCAATGAACTGCAACTAGAACCACTTTGGATTCGAGGATTGAAGCACAACTTGTTGCTGCTTTTCAACATATTACGCAAACGACCTATACCAACCTACGTACACAATTTACAACATTGCTCAACTCAAGCGCTTCGCAACAAAGATTTTACATTGAATATACCGAAGGCTAAAACGAACGTCCGCTCTAATTTCTTCCTGGTCAAATACGGCTATCTGTGGAATAAACTACCAAGGCCATGTGACAATGTGGCAACATTTAGAAGTAGACTGGCCAATTACCTTGATCTAACTACCCTAAGCTCTATATTCACATGGGAAATATCCCTCGATGAGCTATTCCAAGAGGGGCCCAAAAACATCTAAACACCAATGTTTTCAAAACTAGGCCTTAGCGTCAACCATCCGCTAGGACGTTGCTACATAAAATGCATGCCCCATATTCCATCTATGCAAGAACATGGATACTTCCGTACAAATTGATCTGTTCCGCCACAGGCACAGTCTCTCGCATCGAAAGAAATATACGTATTATTATTATAACTATTAATAGCTGGTGTGCCCAAACAAGTCTGGGGAGTAAAGTAGAGAACAAAGCTCGGACACTAAGACCATTGTCCAGTTTATTGCAACGGCCTCGATGAAACGACGGAAGCAAGAATTAGAGAAAGGCGGCGATCCTAGAAGTAGATTCGAGCTCCACCTAGTGGCCTGTGATAAGTGTTTGTACAACGAGGAGGGGACGATCTAAGCAAACAAAGTTGAGGATAGCACGGATGCCGAAAACGGTGCACCAAACACAATCCAGCACATGAACAGGCTGATATGCAACTAATAGCGTGGTGACACTTCTTAACCAGTGCAGAGAATCGTCTGTGTGTTTTTATCCTTGCTCTGTTCTATTGTTTAATGCTTCAATACTTAGTATACAATGTGCTTACAAAATGGCTTCACCACACCCAGTTCACTGAGGACGTTTCACGCTACATCATCATCGACTGCATAAGAATCGTAAATCCGCTACCTAGCTCCTCACCGCAGTCAACTAGCCATTCTGATCCCCATAACTTCCTCTCGGCTTGTGAACCTAAGCAAACATTAAGCTGATTCACTTAGTTGCACCTTAGTGCCTAATTTCACTACACCCATTGAATAACCATTTTATTATTAGCTTTTATATCTAGAACACATGTTAAAATGAAATTCAACATTTGCCGCTGCAATGAGATTAGTTATGAAGTAAAAATCATTAACCACTTCTAGCGTTTTGCCAAATACCGTTCAGACAACGAATAAATGGGATGCTAAAAGCATAGACCCGACAGCCGAAATCTTTAATAAGAGGACTTGCACGAAAACGAACTTAAGAATCTTTAAATCGCAGATGAATGCGAGAGAATCGTTAAAAAAGCAGCTAATACCATTAGCTAGTGCGCTCCGAACCCACAGCACTAGGAATATGGAGGGGGCCCTTAAGCGTATAACTAACGTGTCCACCAAAGTTCGTGAAAGGCTCATCCCTCCCAAGAACCTTGCATTCTTCAATAGTCTAGACAGATACACTAGCGGTAAGCTTAACTGCATAGCTCCATCGGCCATCTCCTTAAATGGTGCAGATTATGTTGCCTTACGATTTCAGGAAAACTCACACAAGAGCCACAAAGTCTAATTGATAAGTGAACTATGAGTATGGCGAAGCTGTATTCAAAAGCGCTCTAGTTAGAGCTGATCGAACTCTAATGAAAGCAGAAATACAGGTACATGCCCACAACACCTGTTGCCTCGAAGAGCAAACAGCTACTGCTAAAATCCAGTGTTTGTAACGAAGATTGTACCTTAAGAGTAGTTTCCTACGTAAAGACGAGATTAACTTGAACAGACCTACGCCCACAGCCATCAGGAATGTTAGTGATGTAAACGCCGAGCTAAAGATTAAAATAGATTCAACAACTACCCAACCAAAAAAGGGCGCTATTGGGGCGAGTGCTCACCTAGGAATTGATCTAGCATTAAATATACCAGCCAAAATGTAAGTGAGATTCTCAAAACAAATAGGGTGTGTTAACTTCAAACGGATGTCTGCTTACTGGAACAACGTTCCTACTGTGCTCCGAATTAATTCTCCCACGTTTAGCAGACTCAACCAGACTCAGAAACAGCGTACTCCACATAGTGAACTAATTTTCACATTGCCAAAGTATACCATAGTAAAAGATCGGTTTTCCCCATGTAGCCTTGCATACATATGTAACTGTTGATCATAACACGACCACAGCTGGAAGCCACCAGCGTCCCTAGCGCCTAGCCTTTCAGACCCAAAGAAGTATGTCAATCCACTGTAGCCATAGCAAGTACACAGTGGCTTTAGTATCCCTACTCTACCATCAGCACGAACGCCAAAGAACACACTAGGGATCCACAAGAGACTTGCAATGATTGGAGTGGGAGATGGCAGGCAATGACGGGAGGGAACAGAGTCGACGCGGGACCAGAGAAAAGGAAATCAATGGATTTACCCATGCGAGCAGGCCATAAGGGCTAGACGAGCGCGATCGAATCCATCCTGCCTACCAGGAGCGAGGAGTAGAGTGGCCGTAGACGAGGGGGAAACGGATTGGCGCAGATAGCAGTGAGCGAACAGCACACTAGCGCTAAAAAACACGAGCCGATGTCACAGAACGCAGTGACAGCTGGCCAATTGAGCGAATGGAGTCGATTGCAGATTAACGAAAGGTGAACGAAACAGATGCCTTCAACGCAAAGCAACTAGGATTGCACGGATCAGATAGATGAAGAACTGACGATGCTTAGCATGACCATGCTAAAGGTAGCCTTTGGTAGGGTAAGTGTGGGTTGAACTGACCACAACAGACGAAAGGCGCGTGCAGGCCAATGAACACAGGCACATAAAGTAGAGGCGACAATGAGAAATGGCCAATGAAAAGCTATCACACTGAAACCGCACTCCTAATTTAGTTATAGTTAAATGAGCATATGGTTCATGAATAAAAGTTGTTGATCGCTGGCTAGATAGTGTCCAGACTCTCGGATGACGACAAAATATGACGTATGTTGCTACCAGGACGCCTTAGATGAAGCAACTGTTGTGCGGTTAATTGAGGGCAAGTAAAATAAAATACACTGGTAAATGTTGCATTTTCACGAAATGTTCAAGGTGAGAACAACACAGACTAAGTTCCATAGAAGTTCTTGTATTATGCGGCATCAAGCGGTAGTCGTCTAAGTGCGGAGCCTACAATTGATGCAACATGGTGTACGTCATTGTCAATGCAGATAGCCGATAACTGTGAGGATCAATGGGCTTTATCGAATGGTCGTATAAGCTTGCGAGGGATGCGAACTCTATCTGCCCTTAACAAGGCGCCAGACCGTATGGTGTCACAAATTGAAGCGCTGGAGACAGATGCACATTGCTGCAGTGTGCGTGCATGCCTGCAATAAATAAGAACTCCATGAGTGGTTTCAGAAGGAAAAGGGATTACCGTTCCGTCACAGCTCTGTGCAAGTCCAGTGTGCACCAGTTATTACGGTGTTGGAGCGACGCCGGTAGATAGGGGAACAACCGTGACTACTATCGGTGTACTTCTCATTTTAAATTCTCCAAGTACACGCTGCATAAGGAACTTATAGATTAAGCTGTAGATGATGCGCTTCCTCTGGACGTAATTATAATGAGAAGTAGTTCTCTAAACGGATGGTACAAATTATCCGTAAAAACCATTTAAATCCGGTAGTTCGGAGTGAACACACTGGACACGATAGCGTTGCCCGATCTGTAGTACAGATGAATAAATGATGTGGGTTCGTTAGAACAGACCAAAATGTATGGCTGTCGACTCTCGGTTTAATTCTCATCGGTCTCCTAAACAATGACGGTGTACGGGAAAAGTGTATGAAACGTCTCAGAAACCGAAGTGTGACTGTGAAGCTAAAGTGTTGTAGTCAGTGAATATCCGATAGAGAGTAATTCGAGCAGTGTTAATGGCAAAGGCCTGAAGAGAAATGAATGCAAGTAGGCTGCCGATGAGTCCAAGCATTAGCAGTGGTCATGTGAAACGAAAAAAAGAAGGTGGAACGTACATAAGCCAGCGATTCATTCTATCGATGTAAGATTATTAAAGCATAATGATTCGGAAAACTAGAGGACATGCGTAGAAGAGGAAAAGTAAGTATGCTCACATCCACAACACCCGGATGACATGGAGCACACCGGAATATTGCCTATGTTGATCCTGTAATCGAGATCGGACCACTTGATATGGATAGGTCAATAATGACGCAGCTATCTTGGAAACTGAGGAAAGAACGAGATATTCCACAGCACTCTGAAATGGAAAGGAAAGAAGAGTACGCAGTGGTGAGAAGCCCATGGAAGAAGATCTATGTGTAACCTCCCACATGTCACAGAAACGATCCGGTGACCGAATTGATGGGGGTATTTACCAGAATGTTAATGGGGCTCCACAATCCGATTGCGTGGTGCAATTCATTCCAGCAATGAATGCTTCAAATGAACTGACAACACACATAGATCAATCTTCACCCAGGGTTATATGAATAGTAAATAATGGACGATAAAGAAACTACTCCGGCGACTGTAGCCAATTAAACGGAACAGGCCACAAGAGCAGGAGGAAAGGAATGGTTACGGAACCCATAAGTCAAGGTCCACTATTGGATACTGAGACTGGGACTGTATTTAATAGCAAGTAGAAAAGTTGCTGTACAACTCTCTCGAACTATGAGAAATAAAAAAAGTTATTTGCGAATCGTCAGCGATAGTGTTTGGTCAGTTAATCGTTTATGCTTGTTCAGTTAGGACTTCGTATTGGTGTCACTATTTCCGGGTATAGGATGTATTTTTTTAGCATTGTCACCGCTTCACAAAAGTACAGGTTTCCATGTAATCTTCATCACAAGCCGAGATGACGTATCTATTCCAAAGTTTGCGGCGCCACTGCGCTAACTGTCAAGCGACGCATACTGTGGTAGTGTCCAATCAGTCTGACTTACAGTTTGGACGAGCCTATTGAAGTCCGTCTTCCAATAGTTGAATGTCGCTTTCCGTTGGTGGTAACACGGTAACGGCAGTTCTATGCTTGCCACAATGGAGCAGCGGTCACTGTTCCCTGGAGGTTCGAGGAGCATGGTCTCTTACAGCATCTGCTCGCAGCTCGTAAACATTAGGTCCAGACGAGATGCTGAGTGCAGAGATATGCGCGTCGGTTGGACGACATGTTGCGTTGCCCCGATTTCAAGAGTCATTTTAGCGAATTGAGCTTCAAAGTCGCCATGACCGGGAAGAACCCGAAGGTCTTGCCAAAATATCTCAGAAAAATTTAGATCCCTCATCAGTAAAAATATAGGGCGGCTAATGTGCTTCTGTATATGTGGCAGCCAATTGTAACAACGGTTTAATGGGCTAAGATAGATAACATCCAATATTAGTTCTGCGCGTCTGAGGCGGATTGTGCACCACAATTGCCCGCATAAGTTATCCTCGCTCCGATAATTGCTGGTAAGTTTGCCAGACAGTGACGATTTTATGTACAAGAGAACACCACCATGATTTTCGGCCGCATCGGAAACAAGAGTATCCTGACAGCTCCGAGACAGTGAAGCGGCAGAGTTGATCAGGTTTGTTCAATAGGCTGTACACGTTGAAGAATGCCACACGGTGGGCTTGGGAGGTACCGCAGGACGTGCATGAAAGTTGAGCGACCGGCTGATACGGGTGCGTACACGCTTCTTGACCACGCGAAAATGTACAATTTGTAAGTCAGTTTCACCTTCTTCTGTACGGCGTTTGAGCTTAATGACCGCAGTCTTCAAACGATTTCTCTCTTCGGGTTCGAAGTATCGGCGGATGTGAATCTGTATGCCTTTCAGCTTCGACAGACGAGACAGTATGAGCTGCGGCATATTGTGATGTGCAAAAGTGATTCTCAGCGGTCGACATGACTGGTTAGTTTTCTGGGCAAGTCGGATTATTAGTTTAATCGTCACACTGTCTTCAGCCACATCCAACAGTCTATCGATGATACCCTGAAGGAACTCAACATCATGATCATAACGTAGCTGAGGGTGTTTATCTTTTGACTCTGATACGTGAAAGACCATGAGATTATGACGCCTCAGCGAAATCGGTGATGAACTTGTGGGACCAGGACTAAAAGCACTTATCGGTTTCGGTTGTTGTTTACCAGCAGGGGACGCCTGAACTCGATTGCGTGGCCCCTTGCGCTTTTGAGTGGTCCTTAGATCCTCGGTGTTCAGAGGTTCACAGACAGGCTGAGAAATTCACGGACCGATCAGTAAAGCGGCATTTCGTAGGTTCCGAGTTTGAGTCTTCAATCGGTGGGGAACATTGGCTCGGTCGGGGTCGAAGACCCCGGTGGTAGTGCATGTCGCATAGTGATAGGGGAAGGCGAGTTGGCTGAGGTACTTTTATGAGGGCGTTTAACCAGATGAGGTGAACGGTGCTTCTGTCTGTGAGAGATTTACCTGTAGTCGTTGGCGATCGCTGTGCATTCTGATGTCGTGCACAGCGATATTTATCACATATAAGTTGAAAAACCGATGTAGGATGTAGAGAGATTTTTGAAAGACGTCAGCGGACAAGCCAATGCACGAAATATGGAACGAAACATCGCAGCCGAAGCACCAAAGTGCACGAGCCTTATGTCCAGCAATTTTCGAACACGAACCACAAGTAGCTCGAGACAGCATCACAAGGTACAGCAAATCCAAGATGGCGGACAGACAATAGTTGGGCCAATCAATGAGATTTCCGGAATTTGCACAGATTGAAAATGATTGGTGCACCATTCACACAGAAAAACACTTACAACACAGTGATCCGAAGCAAAAGTAGAATCCAACACACGATGATTCAAAAATCCGCGGCGTCTGTGGGTGCAGCCAAACCGATTAAACCGAAACCAGACAAGTCGGAGCGACCGAAATAGTAGTTACTGACGGACGATTTCAAACAACGAAAGAAGAAACGCGGCTACCGTGTTTAGCTGGAAATGTTGCGGGCGGTTGTAAATATTGAAAGCTGAGCCTAAGTGCCATCTAGACTGGCCTGCAAAGTGCATTAAGGTCTCAATCACACGAGTTTCCACGGGAAGATAGCAAAATGATCTAAGACCGAATGTTGGAACTGCAGCGGATGGAATGTGAAAGTTAAGCTGTATAGAGTGCACCTTTTAGGGAGCACTGAAATAAAAAATGTGACGATGCTAAAAGGTGGTGATGTCAAACCGCCAAACGAGTGAACCAGTGAGAAAAACGGTACAAAGTAGATGTAGAGACGAGGGCGATGGAAAAAGTAAAATCAGAGTAAAAAATTCGGATAGCTGAACATACCAATTTGGTGTTCACGACTTGCTTCCGATAACTTGCATTGTACATGTCTCGCATGCGGTCATATAGCATGAATTGTATCGCCCCGTGGCTAACACCGAAAAGTCCGGGCAGGTAGCCGCGATAAAAACCGGCAACTCCTTCGTGACGCCACAACTGAACGAGCGCGCTCCATAGGCCAACCGAGGAAAATTGGCCACAGGCAATTTTCGATGGCACCTGGGACGCTTGTGTTAGACGTTCGTACTGCAGACATAAACGTGTTTTGATCACCCAAATCGGATTCATGATCGTCAGAGTGACGGAACCTGTTTAGTGAGAATTGCAAGTAGTAAAAATCAGACACAATAAAGGATGAAAAATAAATAGAAATACAACCTCTGCTTAAAATAATGACTGCAACGGAGATCGAAGAAGATGCAATATGAGGTGAATCGCTGCTAGTGAATTTGAAACAGTTACTTAGAGGAGTGTAGCTAAAAAACATGCAATAATTTCAGAATCTATTCAACAATATAGGCAAATGCCGTTAGATAATACAAAGCAATACTGATCACTGTCATCACCATCATCAACAATATTACATCAGCCATTTGGACTGAGGTTTCGCTGCCGCACAAACACATTGACCCAAGGAAGAAAGAACAATAAGTGATAAGAGAAGGGGGGCAGCGTAATACTCTTAGCAAACATTCAGCATCAAGGCATATACATCTTGTCAGCAACATACCGTCACAAACAATTGGCTGTCATGTAAAGATAAGGGGCTTTCACTGCCCCGCGTCATAATCATCCATTATCCCGCAGATAACTCAGCACCTAATAGGGGTCAAGTAAATTTACATTCTGACATCGTTACGGTCTCTAGGCTATTGTAACCAAGGGTTTTGTCTATGTGGGGTTATAACCTATCAGTTGTTCTATTGTAGCTTGCGTACCGAAGATTCTAGATAGTTAAAGCCTAACTCTCAGGCCCACTACTTCTCAATCAACATACGTTCAATCTGTCTGGTGGATAGTGCTCAATCTTACAACAATTTAATCATCTATAAATGGATCTGCTTCTGCGACCCGAAGGCTTTGACACGAACCCAAACGCTTCCGATGCAGCAGAATCATTGGAACACCGGTTTCTTTACAGTTACCAACTTCCTGGTCATTACTGATTCATACAAACCTCAAACGTTAGCAACTGTGAATAAAATTATTTCTCGACGTCCTTCGTACGAACAAGCAAACAGCACTCTCGAATCACTCTATGTGTGTACCTGGTCGTACTGTGTTTGCGACTGAGGAGAACAATTAGAATGTTGACACACCGCAACTTATGTTTTTTTTCTGCCTTGACGAAATGGTTGAGGGGGTTCGCTGTTTTACTTTTCTTAACAATAAAGCATTCGCAGGTCATCTATTAGCTACCTGTAAACAAGGGTCTACCGAAAATCTCGATAAGTTCATAGACCGACTTCGAGCACTCACCAAAAACGGCAGTTTCAAACCTGTGAATGATGAGCGAAACCAAGATGATGCCATCGGCGATGCAGTTATCAGTGTGCTAGTATCCCATTCTATAAAACGAAGACTATTGGAGCATAAAACATTAAAAATACAGACTGCCTTGGATGCAGTTGAGTCCTTAGACTTAGCTCAGGAACAATCTTATACATTTGCGTCATCGGTTCCAATCATACCTTGCAACGCCATAGCTTCTGAGTTAGCCTCCCATGGAAAATCATGCACCAGTTCACCGTTGGACGCCACGCGGGCTACTGCTCGAACAAAGTTGTCAAACAAATGCTACTTTTGTGGCTACGATCGTCATCCTCGACCCAAGTTTCCGGCTAGAGTCTCAAGCTTCAAGTCGTGTGAAAAAGAAAGACATATTTGGAAGTTGCGTTGTTTTGTACATCCATATAACATGTTGCTGTTGCCTCACCGTTCGTGGTTTCTTCCATCATCATCTCAGCTGCTCCGATATGTCTTGCAAATGTTAGCACAGATGTCATTGTCAACGGAATTGAGCTGAAAGCGCTAATTGACACAGAAGACAGAGTCTTGTCTGTTGAGCCGTTGTACAAAGACATCGTTGGGCAAAGCTGGAACCATATAGTGAAATTGTTCTGGCTTTCACACCAGTTAGTAGTCATACCAAAGGACAATGTTTTGCTTCTCTCGTACACAAAAGAGTGATCTATCCACATGCGAAGTTTTCAATAGTTCTGGATCTGCGCGCTGATATTTTATTAGTACATAATGTGTTACAGTTACATGCAAGCGTAGAGATATCTTTCCCTGGTAATCGACGTCCGTTCACTTTATGTGATCTTGCAGCTCCTCAGCTACCTTCCCCTGCTCTGTCCGCTCATCTATGTCCCTCATTTACTCCATTACGCAACAAGTCAAGGAGGCATAATCCTGCAGACGAACATCTCATCCAAACTGAAGTTATAGGCCAGTAAAAGAAGGCACGAGCGAATCTTCGAATTTACCTTGCCGTGCACAAGTTCATGGTACCACAAACGAACGTCAATAGAAACGTATGGTTATCAATCATAGCCAAAGCATAAACCGTTGCACGGAACTGGATGCTTATTCTTTACCGTGTATAGATGAGATAACCGAGAAGACGCCATATTTCGGGGTGTTCAGTACTCTGGATCTAGAGAGTGCCTATCATGAAATCACTATAAAGGAAGAGGAGTAGAAGTATACAGCACTTAAAGCATTCAATAACTCATATCAGTTCCGTCGTATACCTTTTGGGGTAACCAACACTGTTGCATATTTTCAAAGGACTATGGATGAACTGCTTTGCCATAAAAATTTCAAAGGAACATTTCTCTGTCGATAATAGTGCTGTGTGTGGCAAAGATACTACGTTACATGAAAAAAGCTTCAAAGGTTCTTGCGCGTCCTCGAAACGTATGGGATGACACTAAACCATAAAAAATGCATGTTCGTGGTTAAGAAAATTCACCTGATTGATTACGGGGTACCTTTGGGCGCAGTGAAACCAGACGTCGATCGATTTAAGCCGCTAATAATGCTACCTCCGCCAATGGATCTCAAATCCCAACAAAGAGTATTTGGGATGTTTGCCTACTAGTCCTAGTGGTTTTCACACTTTTCGGGTAAGATGTATCTGACCGTACATAATAAGACTTTTCCACTGCTAAATAATGTTTTGCACGTGTAGGAGGCATTAAAAGCAGAACTATTCGAAGCAGCCGTGGTCGCTGTTGACAGAAATGTACCATTAGTGATTGTGATTGATGCATCTGATGTTGCTGTTTCCGCAACATTCAATCAGAACGGTCGACCGGTCGCACATTTCTCAAGTAAACTGACCAGTACTGATCGAAAGCACTATGCCGTGGAGAAAGAGACTTAGCTATCGTGGAAGTTATCAGAAAATGGCGGCGCTATCTACCTCGAATCTATTTCAAAGTGATAATTGACCAGCGCTTAGCTGCTTTCATGCATGACACCAGGCTGGGAGGAAGGATAAAAACGATAAAGTCCAGAGATGGCGTATCGAGCTCTCGCAATTCTCTTACGAGGTGGCATATCGGTTAACACCCAGAATTTCACTTGGTGCGAGCAAAGAATCTGTCAACTTCCTTAGGGAATGTGAAACCAAAAATCCAGCGGTGCTCCATGTTTCCAACTGAAGCCGAAGTTCTGCACACCAGCTAGCAATCCGCTAATCAAAGCAACTCAAACTTCGAATGACTTCAAAGAACCAGCATCTTCGGCCACGCGTAACCGCTACATACTCGTAGTTATCGACGGGTATTCTCCATTCCCGTTTGCACAGGCCTGCCCTGACATGACGGCCTCAACTATCATACACAAGTGAATGGAGGGTCGTTTGGAGCACACGCTGTGATTGGATTGCGACGCGAAATCTCAATGTAGACCACGATCCCCATTGAAGTGAACCTTGGTTAATGCGATCAGTAGGACCGCTGCCGAAGCAGATGAAAAGTGGGTGTTGTCCGCACGAAAACAGCGCATAACCACGACGCGTTTCGATGATATCATACACAAGCTAACTGAATTTCGCTATCTTTGGAATGTCATCATATGTACATTCTAATAGGGGTTCATGTCAATGTCACGGAGGTGAAACAGCTGACTAGGAAGGTGCACTCTAGCAGGCCGCAGCCTAAAAACGTGACGCTATTTCGAGAAGTCTGTCTGTATGACACGAATGCTACCCAACCGACGGTAGCAAGGCTGAGTCATGCCGGAAGCTGATGAAATCAGACCATCATCACACGGGCTGCTACGCGACAGGGCGCGACACCAGCAATGTTTCGTAGGCAGCGATGATCAAAGACCAGAAGACGCTTCATACCCTCTGACTGAAGTGGCCAAGTCTCGCTCCCATCGAGTAGGACGACCCTCACTGCGGCATTGCATACACAGTATTTCAGACCGAGGGAGGCCGCTTCTAACGCCACAGATTCAAGAAGGTAGTACCAGGAGTATGCTTGGAACCAACTGTCACATAATTCCAGATTTTAAATACAAATCGGTTTGTGTATGTATGTGTATTGTGGCAACGTTTCGCTCCTGATGCCAGAGCTTCCTCAGGCCAGGTGAATCAGTGCACAATTGGCTTAGCATTTTATGGCGAAGTAGGTTGACGATTGTAAGAAACAACACGAATCAGTGGACAATAGCGTTACAGATCACTAGGTCAGATGGCCATTACAATGTGATAACAAGTATCAAAATGTGCCCCCGTTGATCCGCGCCATAGGTCGTTCACATGTGAGACATTCCTGTTCCTGATGGTGCCGATTCACACTTCGATCTGAGTTCGTCTGCTGACACCTATTCTTAACACAAGTGTCTAGTACAATTGGTTAGCGGCGAATTACTTGATGGACACACGCCTTCTCAGTTCCTAAGACGAAGTGTTATTCAACCAGCTAATTCTGAAGTGTTCATCTATGCAGGTACAAACTATCCTAGTCAGCAACGCTGACAGTGTTCCCTTAATGCAGCTAGCTAGTATTCCTGACAAGATTTAAGAGATACAGCCTAGGACGATTGACATCCATGCCGTTGAAACGCACAGTCTACCAAACACAATTAACAACCGTGTGGACGATTTAGCTAAACAGATAGCCGAACTTCGGTTAAATCGACCGACACGACACCGCTTTTCTAGTACTCGCTCATCTACTCGAACAATAGGTTCTGGTTCATCGCGTACTTCAACTACTTGTTGCTATCATTGTCGTTTCGGGCATTAGGCGCGTAAATGCACTCAACCCTGCTCCTTCCGTCAAACGCA